TTCCATACTATGGCTATTGTTGATAGTGCTGCTATAAACATTGGGGTGCATGTGCCCCTTCAAAACAACATACCTGTATCCCTTGGATAAATACCTAGTAGTGCAATTGCTGGGTCATAAGGTAGTTCTATTTTTAATTTTTTGAGGAACCTTCATACTGTTTTCCAGACTGGACACACCAGTTTGCATTCCCACCAGCAGTGCAAAAGAGATCCTCTTTCTCTGCATCCTCGCCAACATCTGTTGTTGCCTGAGTTGTTAATGGTAGCCATTCTGACAGATATGAGGTGGTATCTCATTGTGGTTTTGATTTGTATTTCCCTGAAGATGAGTGATTTTGAGCATTTTTTCATATGTCTGGTGGCCATCTGGATGTCTTCTTTGGAGAAATGTCTATTCATGTCTTTTGCCCATTTCTTCACTGGATTTTTTTGTTTTTTGAGTGTTGAGTTTGATAAGTTCTTTATAGATTTTGGATGCTGACCCTTTATCTGATATGTCATTTGCAAATATCTTTTCCCATTCTGTTGGTTGCCTTTTAGTTTTGCTGATTGTTTCCTTTGCTGTGCAGAAGCTTTTTATTTTGATGAAGTCCCAATAGTTCATTTTTGCTTTTGTTTCCCTTGCCTCTGGAGACGTGTTGAGTAAGAAGTTGTTGCAGCCAAGGTCAAAGAGGTTTTTGCCTGCTTTCTCCTCAAGGATTTTGATGGCTTCCTGTCTTACATTTAGGTCTTTCATCCATTTTGAGTTTATTTTTGTGTATGGTGTAAGAAAGTGCTCCAGATTCATTTTTCTGCATGTTGCTGTCCAGTTTTTCCAGCACCATTTGCTGAAGAGACTGTCTTTATTCCATTGGATATTCTTTCCTGCGTTGTCAAAGATTAGTTGGCCATACATTTGTGGGTCCATTTCTGGGTTCTCTATTCTGTTCCAATGATATAAGTGTTTGTTTTTGTGCCATGCTTCACATATTTTGAATCTTAGTAACTGGGTGCATAACAAAGTCAGGATTTTTATGTTTTCTTGGTATGTACCTCTATCTCTGTTAATATCATAGTCTTGCCCTTTACTTTGTCTAATATAAATATAACTGCTCCAGTTTTCCTATGATTAATGTTTCATAATACATCTTTTTCCTTCTTTTTACTTTTATTTTTAAAAAAAAATTTTTTTTTAATGTTTTATTTATTTCTAGGAGAGAGAGAGAGAGGCAGCGTGAGCAGGGGAGGGTCAGAGAGAGAGGGAGTCACAGACTGAAACAGGCTCCAGGCTCTGAGCTGGCAGTCAGCACAGAGCCCTACGCGGGGCTCGATCCCACGAACCGCGAGATCATGACCTAAGTGAAAGTCGGACGCTCAACCGACTAAGCCACCCAGGCTCCCCGTCCTTCTTTTTACTTTTAGCCTGTGTTTTATTATTCAAAGTGTGTTTATCATATAATTGGGCTTTAGTTTTAAAATCCAGTTTTTATTTTATTTTTTAATGTTTATTTATTTTGAGAGAGACAGGCAGAGAGGGAAATAGAAGCCCAAGCAGGCTCTGCACTGGCAGCACAGAGCCCAATGGTGGGGCTTGAACTCACAAAATGTGAGATCATGACCTGAGCTGAAATCAAGAATCAGATGCTTGACCCTGCTGAAGTGCCCCTTAAAATCTAGTTTGAAAATCTCTGCCTTTTTGTCAAAGTAAATGCTTTCTAAAATTGAGCAGTGCCTGTGGTTTGGGAAATTCACACCTGCCTTTTGGTGGCATTCCACAGGGAAAAGGTAAGTGACTGGATCATGCCTTCTTCTTCCAGGTTCTGTGTGCCATAGTTTTCTTTCCTGTACAGTAGTGATGACTGTGCTACTTCACAGCATGGCTAGGAGGATTAGATGAGATGATTCATATAAAGCACACAGTAAGCACTCACATGAAAGCTACTGACAGCTCTAGATCATTAGGTGATAGTAACAGTAGATTATTACTATTATTTCATTTTTTAGAAAATATTTTTATTTATTTCTAGGAGAGAGAGAGAGAGACAGCATGAGCAGGGGAGAGTCAGAGAGAGAGGGAGACACAGATTCTGAAACAGGCTCCAGGCTCTGAGCTGGCAGTCAGCACAGAGACCGACGCAGGGCTCGAACCCACGAACCGTGAGATCATGACCTAAGTGAAAGTCGGACGCTTAACCGACTAAGCCACCCAGGCGCCCCTACTATTATTTCACTAAACATCCTCTTCCCATTTGACTTTGATGAAGTGTTTGTTGACATAAGAAATGAATCCCTCTTTTTAAAAAAATTTTTTTAACATTTACTTATTGTTGAGAGACGAGCATGATCGGGGGAGGAGCAAAGAGAGAGGGAAACACAGAATCCAAAGCAGACTCTAGGCTCTGAGCTGTCAGCAAAGAGCCCAACACAGGGCTCGAACTCACAAACCAGGAGATCATTGCCTGAGCTGAAGTTGGACGTTTAACCAACTGAGCCACTCAGGCACCCCATGAATCCCACTCATATGTATCCTCATTTGCGGAAAACTACTATTGCAGGCCTGCGTATTACAATTTTACAGTTTTTTCTCTTCACTTTTCCACTCATGTGTTTTCCTTTTCTAACCAATCCTGTTTTTTTTTTTTTAAGTTTATTTATTTATTTTGAATGAGAGAGAGAGAGAGGGAAAATGAGTGGAGAAGGGACAGAAAGAAAGGAGACAGAAGATCCAAGGCAGGCTCTGTGCTGACAGCAGAGAGCCCGACATGGGGCTTGAACTCACAAAGCGTGAGATCATGACCCAAGCTGAAGTCAGATGCTTAAGTGACTGAGCCACCCAGACACCCCATAAGCAATCTTTTTTTTTTTAATTTGGGGGCACCTGGGGAACTCAGTTGGTTAAGCATCCAACTTCAGCTCAATTTATGATCTCATGGTTCGTGAGTTTCAGCCCTATGTCCGGCTTTGTGCTGACAGCTCAGAGCCTGGAGCCTGCTTTGGATTCTGTGTCTCCCTCTCTCTCTGCCCCACATGTGCTCTCAAAGATAAACAATAAAAATTTTTTTAATTAAAAAATTAAATTTCATTGAAACCCATCAACTGTACACTTTATTTTGTGCATTTTATTGTACATAAGTTATAACTTAATAAAATTGATTTTAACAACTAAAAAACCTGGGAGGGGGTGCGCCTGGACAGCTCAGTTGGTTGAATGTCCAACTCTTGATTTTGGCTCATGTCCTGATCCCAGGGTCATGGGATTGAGCCTCACATTGGGCTCTGTGCTGAGTGTGGAGTCTGCTTAAGATTCTCTCTCTTTTCCTCTCTCTCTCTTTCTCTCTCTTTCTCAGCCATTTTGCATCTGAAGTGTAAATAGAAAGGGCTTTTTGATTCTGTAGTAACAGGCACATAGTTATGTTATGTTTCTGCTTCAGTTGAAACAGTCTCTTAAAGACAAAGCATGCAGTCTTTTCATGTAATGATCCTTTCCATTATCCTACAGAAAGTATATCCTGTGCTAGAAGACAATTCAAATATAAGCAATATTATACATACATTATTGGACAGTAGAAATCAATGAATGATGCTCATCAATCATAACATCAAACTGTTCTTGCTTGCTTGTGACTTCCCAAACAAGATGCAGAAGACAGATCTGCCCATTCATTTAATCAAGATATGAAAGTAATCACGGCTCTTAAGCAATGGGTTTTTAACCAAGCTCAAAATAACTTTGAACGTCCTCTCCAACTGAGAAACTACAGCTTGAAATAAAGTCCCTAGAATAAATAAGAGTATGAACTGTCAGAACAATAATTATGAAAGAAAAAATAAAAAAGATTGTCTCTCCCCTTCTGCCCCTCTACCCTGCTTTCTAAAAAATAAATAATTTTAAAAAACTCAAAAAGCAAAAAAAAAAAAACTCAAAAAGCAAAACTGGGAAAATTCTGTCACTTACATTAGTGTATATAATATATAAGCTAAAGACTAATGATAAACCCAACATCCATGTGCCCACTTACCAGCTTAAAAAATTGTACAAGATCAACAATCTCTTTGAAGCCCCTGTCTGCATCACTGTGTCAATCTTCTGTTACTTTTCTTCATAAGCCTTGCTATACATGTATCCCTATGCAATAGTCTTAGCTGCCTTTGAACTTTAAATAGAATCATGCTGAATGTATGCTTCTGTGACTTGCTGTTTGTGCTCAGTTTTAGTATTTTTCTATGCTTACACATGGAGTGGTTATTGACTTTTACTGCTGTATATTATTACCATTCTGCTGCATGCATATAGGCTGTTTGCGGTTTGGGGACTTTTCCAAACAATGCTGCTGTGAATATTCTTGTTCATGTATTTCTTTTATTAATTTTTAAAATACTTATTTACTTTTGAGAGAGAGTGTGAACATATGGGGGAGGGACGGGGGAGAGGGAAACAGAGGATCTGAGGCCGGCTCTGCACTGACAGCAGAGAGCCTGATGAGAGCCTTGAACTCATAAACCACGAGATGTCCTGAGCTATCAGACACTTAACCGGCTGAGCCACCCAGGTGCCCCATTTGTTCATGTACTTCTAAGGTAACATGCTAGGATGAAATGGCTGGTTGTGAGGTGCATGTTCAACTAGTTAATGCCAACTGTTTCCAAAGTGGCTTAGTCCTTCCTTCTGCACGTCCTTACTGACATCTAAATCTGACATCTACAGACAGGTTTTCACATTCCAACATTTTTGCCCACCTGAGTCTTTATAATAACAGTCAACACTTGATGTTCATGTAAACTGTGCCAGGCTCTGTCTTGATCGCCGTGTGAATGATCTCATTTCATCCTCACAAAAACCCTATCGAATAAGGATGTGTGGTCAGTTATGTCCACTCCCCTGCCCACTTCCCTTCTGTCTGGACCTGGTGGCCTTTCTCCATGGCCACTTCATCTCTTCCTTCTCCCAACTTGGGCTGGCCTGGGTCCCAGCAGAGCCTGGGACCTCAAACCCTGCCTCAAACCCCTTTTTCTCCTCAGGCTGTTACTCCCTGTCAGTCCGTCTCAGCCGCCCTGCATCCTGGGACCGGATCAGACACTACAGGATTCAGTGCCTTGACAATGGCTGGCTGTACATCTCACCACGCCTCACCTTCCCCTCACTCCAGGCCTTGGTGGATCATTACTCTGGTATGGCCTTTCCCTTTATCCATTAGACCGGCATGTGGGGTTTTGGGGGCAGACAGTTGTGCCTTTGCACACTTCGCTTGCTGGAGAATATCCAGACAGGCAGAAGAGGGGCCTTCCCATCTTCATGCCAGTTCCTGTGCCAAGAACTTAGTCTGGGGACTCTACCTCACCCCATGCCCTGACAGAGCCACATGGACGTCCCATGTGAACGTGGATCAATACCTCACTTACCACTGTGGTTCAAGACCCCAATGTCGGGCACAGTTCTCTCCACAGGAATGAGGCCCAGAGCTGTTGCTGTTGTGCATTTCAGTAGATTCTTAGCATTTCCTGCTACCTGTCCTGTTATAGGGACTGGAGGATGTAGCCACTAGGGCAGTGACAAAGGGGCAGAAAGACCATTCCTGGGGAAACCAGTCAGGGTGGGTCCATGTAGTAGCTACTGACAGAACAAGAAGAGATTCTCTAGCTTTCTTCCCAAAGTACTTTCCTAGCCAGAAACTGGCACTCTAAGAGGTCCATCAACATACCCAAAACCAGTCTTCCAAAACCTAGCCCAGAATAACCTGACTGCATCTCAGCCCCCAAATCAACAGCTTGAGGCTTATGCTGTCACTCTTTTTAATGTAATCTGTGTACCCAATGAACTCACAACCCTGAGATCAAGTCACATGCTCTCTACTGAGGCAGCCAGGTGCCCCCCTATCATTTTTTTTGACTATGCCCCCACTTGCCAAATGGGGAAAGTGGTCAGGGTGAGGGTGGGGGTTGTTAGGGAGGAGAACTAGGGCTGGAGTCAGCCATGTCAAAGGTCTATGTTTCTTCCTCAGAGTTGGCGGATGACATCTGCTGCCTCCTTAAGGAGCCCTGTGCTCTGCAGAGGGCTGGCCCAGTCCTCAGCAATCCTATACCCCCACCTGTGATTGTGCAGAGGACACCACTCAATTGGAAAGAGTTGGACAGGTAAGAGGACCTTGCAACATGAAGGCAGAACAAAGGAGACAGAAGGACCCACCCCTGGGAACTCACAACCTCAAATGAGCTGGTCACCTTCAGGGACACCTGGGAGCCAGTGAGTACTAACCTCATAGAGACCAGGCCAGGCTCACCAGGACTGTAGGGGGACTGGTGGGAAGGAGAAAGAGGGAGTGGATATAAGGCATGACCACACACCAAAGATGGCCAGGGTGGAAGGTCAGACAAGATGGAGTACAACAGAAAGCACCAGTCCTGAATGAAGTCAAGCTGGGGTTTATGTGACAGAGAACAGGGAGCCACTGGGAGTTTTTAAGTGGTGAGAACTTGGAACTGTGTGGTGAGCACAGGGAAGACAAAGCTCCTTGACCCAACTCTCTTCCCCTCTCCACAGCTCCCTCCTGTTCTCTGAAGCACCTGGCGCAGGAGAGGCCCCTCTCCTCAGTGAGGGACTCCGGGAGGCCCTCAGCTCCTATATCAGCCTGACTGATGACAGCTCCTTGGATGATGCCAGGGCCCAAAGCAGAGACCAAAAGGGAATCCAAGGCTGCAGCACCTAGACTCCCAGCTCAGCTCAGTCTGAGAATTCGAGGCAAATCCAGGGTCCCACCTATGTCCTCTGCTCCTTCCTCTCTCAGCCCTAATAAGTTACTTAACCTTCTCCCAGTGCCATAAACTCACCTGCAACCTCTAGTTCAAATACAGACCAGCTGAGAATAGGAACAGGGCTCCAAGAGACTAAACCTCTGGAGTTTGACCCAGTTAGTACCTGAGTTTGGGGTTTCCAGTACCATCTTCCACCCCTGCTTGTTGAGTGAGTCCCCTTCTATACCTCCCCAGCCCCACTCACAAGGTAGAAACCACCACTAGCATCAAGAAGAAAAATCATTTAAGGAGAATTTACATGTCTCAGAATTCTATACCTCAGAAGGTAGGACTGTGGCCTAGACGGGACAGGAAAGCAGAAGGGATGGATGTCTTACCCCAGCAACAGAATACAAGATGTCCAGCCTCCATCTGGCCCCCAGAACAAAAAGGACCTCTGACAGTCCAGGTTCTCAAACAGCCCCATCAAGCCTCTTCTCTAGATAGTCCTAGCTCTGAGTTCTCTTTCGTTTTGTGGCTTATCATTTGAACCTGCCTAAGCTTTCCTGGCTACAATGGCCTTGCCATCTTGTGGCCAAATTCAAAATGGCACCTTCTGGGCCTAGCACACTGTAGTGAGGTCAGTCATGTCTCTCAGTTGGGGGCAGGGGCATCAGAAGTCAGTAAGCCACAAAGCCAAGGCCACAGCCTACACCAACTCTAGCCCCTAACTTCCCTGCTGCCCAGTAAAGGAAAGGAGGCCTGGCTGGAGCTCCTATAGGAGCAGGGAGAAGAGGAAGGGGGATTAGGATGGAGGGCAGGGTTTGGAGGCTAGATAGGAGGTGGGAAAGGCTTTAACAGGTATCATCAACAGATTCTCAATTAAAGATTTGATTTATTCAAGTATCTGAAAACATTCTACACTGGAAATTATTAGATGGTGCTTGTACTGTGCTATGGACCACGCACATACTGCCACACTGTTTTCAGAAGACTTGAAATGCCACTGATAGTTTAAAAACTGTACACGTGATGGAGACGTGAGGAAGACAATTTAATGTTTCATCCGGATCCAGAGGTGAATCAAATTGAACAACAGCTCCAATCAGCAAACAGGTGTTTCATGATGATATCCAAGAAGAAATGGTTGGTGATGGACAATTCAGAAATGCTTCCCCAAAAGGTGGATGGTTCCTTAAAAAGTTTCAGATCACAACCCTTGCAGAAAACACTGATGTCCAACACGCTGATTCTCGGTCCAGGAAACATGGGTCTTTCAGGTTCCACATGGCTGGGGTGCCCCTACAATCATGTTTCTGTGCTGTAACTAGGAGGGTCCTTTGGACCGGACAGAGAGTGGGTGGGGTCTGTACACCATCAGTCATAGTGGATGGCAGTGTAAAAAATGATCCAAATGACCTACAGAGGAGAAAAGCAATGTTTAAGTCACCTGGGTCCATATGGACCGCTATTCTACAACCAAATGGCAAAGAATGTGTCGTGCATGGCAGGCTTCCCAGGGGCTATCCAATGCAATATGCCTGAAAACCCAAATAATCTCACTGAAATCAAGCTGTCTCTAACAGAGCCCCAGACAACCCACCAGTGCTCCCAAAGGGACCGTGGATAAGCTTCTCTCTCAACTAAATAGCAACTGGAACACCAGAAGTGGAGTCACAGATGTGGAAATGATACAGGTAAAGCAGACTATACTGCTAGGGTTAGGATCAGCAACAAATGTGAAAAACAAACCACCATCATACCCTGTCAGCTTCACAGCAAATAAACAGAGGGTCTTAAAACTAGCTGTTCATTGCAATCTCCTGTGACCTTTATTATACATATATGCCCAGGCGCCCCCGGAGATTTTGATTTTGACCAAAGTCTATGATTTAAGAAATTAACTTTTATGATATAATTCATATTTCATAAAGTTCACCTTTAAAAGTATATAATACAAAAATAAAGTATACAATACAGAGACTTTTAGTATATTCAGAGTTGTGCAAAAGTCACCACTAACTGATTCTGGAACCCTTTCATCACTCTCAAAAGAAAACCTGTTTCCATTATCAGTTACTTCCCATTTCCCTGCACCCCCTTCCTCCCCAACTGACAACCACTAATCTACTTTTCATCTGTGTGGATTTGCCCATTCTGGACATTTTACATAAATGGAATCACATAACATGTTTTATGTCTGGCTTCTTAAACTCAGCCTAATGTTTTCAAAATTAATGAAAGTTGTAGCACCTACCAGTATTTTATTCCTCTTTATGGTCTAATACTATATAAACATACAAGATTTTATTTATCCGTTGACCAGGTGATGGTTGTTTGCACTTTTCAGCTATTATGAACAATGCCATAAGTATATTTTTAAATGTTTCCCAGTTCCTAATATGCAACCAGAGTTGAGAATCAGATGTAAAAACTGATGATCGGCCCTGGGGGTGCATACCACAAGACACATTATACCACACTTCATCTTTTTGGACAACATGACTCACTAAAGGACATGTCCTCCAATCCCTGGAGCCTTCTGAAAAATGGTGCCCCAATCAATCACTCAGCATAATCAAATCAGTGCACTTCCCTTGAGAAACAACAGGATGTGCTCTGTATCTATCAGCTACACATACCATGAACAAGGCAAAAGATGTCATAAACCCTTCTTTCGTGAGCTCCCATGTGCCACCATATTCTTCCTCATCTATCTGTAGATAGTTGCTGAAGTAAAGGTACAGGACTCCTGCATTGATCAGGCAGAATCTAGAGGGAGGACAAGCACCAAACACAAACGGTGAGCTCAAAAGACAAATTCCTTCCTACTGCCACAGTCCAGCCTTACCAGGACAGTCACTGTTGCACAGTTACCTATTTGTAGCACGGAGGCAAGTGAAATAATACATGAAAACACCTAGGCCCTTAATGGAGCTGCCTAGTGGTTGAGCTAGAGATGTAAAGAAAGCAATTTTTTTTTAGTTGCCCAGCAAAAAATCTTTAAAAAATTTAAACGTACATAAAAGTTTTCCAAGCCCTCTCACAGTGAGAATGGTAGCTGAACCAATCCAAATACAACTAGTACCTGACATGGGTCTCCAAGTAGCTAGCTCCAGCTGGGGTGGGGGTGGCCATGGGACAAACTGGCTGCTGCTTCATGGCCTAGTGGAGCAAGTATGCATACTAAAGCAGCTCCCACATTCCCAGTGGGAAACAATGATGCAGAGGTGAAATTGACAGTTCCTGCCCTCCCTCAGCTCACTATCTACTTAGGGGCCCAAAACAGCAGTAAGCATGGAACTGAAATGAAAGGTTTGTGAGCACTTCCAGGAAGATCTTTAACCCCCATATTTATTATTTAACCAACTGAGCCACCCAGGCACCCTTCATATTTTATTATTTAATAAAGCATTTAGAATGCAGTAAGGTATAACATATCACCCTGCTCTACTGATCTCTTGGTACAAACATCATGTAAAAGTAATTTTTATAAAATGTGCTCCAGGAACACTGCTCCTGAAGGCTGCAGGGGAAAAATGCGGAGCACTGGTCCCTCCTAATGGATGAAGTATAAGCTAGTGTGAGGCAGAGCTGTGAGATGATGCTGAGGAGTGTCAATCAATATAAGGGGTAGGGGGCAGATCCTGAGGCTATTTGCACAAGGCGGGGCTGAGGTAAGGTACACATACATCAGAAGTCTATTTTGGTTTTGTTTTTTTTAACATTTTATTTTTAAGTAATCTCATACCCAACCTCCGGCTTGAAACCACAACCCTGAGATCAAGAGTCTCATGCTCTACTGGCTGAGCCAGCCAGGTACCCCAGAAGTCTAGTTTGTGAGTAGTTATAGTACGGGCTTTCTCCTAAGTGGGAGGAACAGGAACTGGGAAAGTGGTTTAGACTCGTACCGTGTTTTAGGACCTGAGCACAAAAAAAATTTAAGGATAGGGACTAGGAAATGGCTGAATGAGAAGGCAAGAGACCCAAAGGCTGCAAGCCTAAAGGTCTGGGAGTATAATATAATGGCTCCAGTAACAGAAGCAGGGAGTCAGGAAGAACAGAAGGTTTTTCTTGGATTTCACACAAAATACAGTCCTTGGCTTAGCCATGTTGTGGCCACATCCTTGTCTTCTGTCAGAAATCTTGGGACCCAGCCAATCTGGCTGCCTGCCTCCCTCTGTCAGGAGTTTCATTTTGGACAGGCTGTTAGTGGTTCCAACAAAGATTACTAATAGGACTCAGAGACGTCACTGTGAGACTCAGCTTAATAAACTAGGTCTGGAGAATGACTAGACTCACTGAGAGTCTCCGGCTGTAAAAGTGGTTGCTTAGTGAGATGAGACAGGGAAATAGAAGAGGAGATAGGGATAACAGGAAAGCACTAGCTTGGGCCCTGTCTTCCAAGAGTCACACACTAAGTTACAAGTGAAGTCACAGAAACAAAGGCATTTAAATGTCTGGTAGTCAAGGGGTAGGGGTCAGGAAAGGACTGGAGGGGCTCAAACTGAGCTCCAAGGATGGGCATAAATCCTATATTGTAAACGAGGGATGGAACTACACTGTAGATGTGTAGACAAAGAAATGAATCTGCTGGATTGGGGGTGGAGGGAAAACATTAAAAAGATGACATTCCAATGCATTTTTAAAGCTCTATCCTAGGGGCGCCTGGGTGGCTCAGTCGGTTGAGTGTCCACCTTCGGCTCAGGTCATGATAATCAGTCTGTGAGTTTGAGCCCTGCATCAGGCTCTGTGTGGACAGCTTACAGCCTAGAGCCTGCTTCAGATTCTGTGTCCCCCTCTCTCTTTGTCCCTCCCCCCCTCATGCTCTGTCTCTCAAAAATGAATAAACATTAAAAATAAATAAAACTCTATCCTAAAAATTCTCATCAGAATTTTAACGAAAGAATGAATCTCTAAGAAATACTCTTGACTTGAGGGCTGGGAGACTGGACAACAACAGTTGTAACATATGACCCTGCTTTCAAGGATTGGTGGGAATTAATTTCAGTTTTTAAAAAAATTTAACAAGCATTCACTGAGCACGTATTAATCATGATGCCAGGCTCTATAAGAGACAGAAAGTCAGGAAGGGATAGATAGTGCTCCTCTCAGATGATGCAAAACCTCAGCAGACAGCAGAATGTTCACTCAGTTCTCAGGCAAATTACAACGAGAACAGAGGAAATGATTACCTTAATGTGCCCTAACTGGTGGCTACCCCAGAAATGGAGAGAAGCCAAGGTGGGGTCCAGACAGAGGGCAGTTAAGGCTGGAAGTGAGGAGGAGAGGGTCACCAGAATGGAGCACTAGAGCAGTCCCGCCCTAAGCCCTGGCAACCGGGTCAGACAGATGGAGGAGAGGGAATGTGTGTAGAAAAATCAATGTCCTTGGGCCCTTTCCAAGAGCAAGGAAAAAGGTGCCAACCATGGGGGGGGGGGGAGGGGGGGAGGGATTCATTTAGAGTGACAGAAACTAGCTCTGGCAGGACAGCATGGGACCAAACCCCAGGAAACAGGCAGAGCTGAGAAAGCGGCACTATGGGTGAGCCACTCCAAGGTGAATTCACTCCCAAACACCTCCGTTCCTGTTTATTCAATAGCCATTTTTAGCACTCTTTGTAAAGCTAATCATAAGATTGCAGTGAACCATTTATGGAGTACATATGATGTACTAAGCAGTACATTTAGGAATTTACTTGCATTATCTCATTTAGTTTACACATCATTCTTATGACGAAGAGACTTTTATTGCCCTCTCTTCAGGATGAAGAGAATGGAGTCTGAGAGGTAAGCCCAAAATTATGTAGCTTGAAAGTAGTAGAGCTGGAACTTGAATACAGAACTTTCTACAGTTAAAAGAAAAAAGAGACTTCTGAGCAGCTTAACTCATCTGCCACAGTGAAAAGGATACCAAACTAACTCTGGTCTTTGTTATACTCCCAAATTGGGTAACTTCAGAGAAATCTCTTAGGAATCCTGCAAAACTAGATAGGGGCAAGGAGTCTGAACCACTGTTACCATCTCCTAGAAAAGTGGCCTTGGGAAGATGAGAGACTTCCTCTTGCCTTTACATTGCCTTCCCCTTCTCTGGCCTTTCATCTTCACTGCCTTTTCTTTCACAGAAAGCTCCAACGGGATGACCAACATGTACTATACACCTCTTCTCATCTGGGAAGATCTCTATCAACCCCAGGTCCTGTGTCTCCTCACCCTCACTCAGTACTTATCATGTGTCCACTTCAGCAAAGTTAGGCAAAGCATAACATAAACTCTCACTCCTTTCGTTGGACAAATGCTTTGCTCAGTATCATGAATTAAAAACCTTCTTAGAAGAGGAGAAAGAGAACGTACATTCCTTTTGGGTCGTTCTGAAAAAACAAGGAACTCAATGAGTTTGAGATCTATCTCCTCCTTTTCACCTAGGATGAGGCAATAAGAGATGTGATCACCTCTAAAACAACCAGTGCGATTTTCCATGGGTAAGGATCACAGTTTCTACCTCCTGTGTGAAAAAAGAAAAGCTCACAGGCCTGCCCATCCATTTCCTACTGTAGCTTACCCACAATTCCAAAAATCCTTTTAATTTAAGCTGGTAGTCATGTGTACTCATCACTTTCAGTGGCTTGTTAACAAGCTGAGCCAAGACCATGGGCAGTGTCAACTGTGCTGCCACGGGACCACAGTAAAAGGTGGAGGGCCCAACCTCCTCCTTTTTTACTACCTTTGAAAAGTAAGGATCCGAGGGGCACCTGGGCGGCTCAGGTGGTTAAGCGTCCAACCTTGGCTCAAGTAATGATCTTGCTGCTTCTGAGTTCAAGCCCTGTGTCGGGTTCTGTGCTGACAGCTGGCGGCTCAGAGCCTGCTTCAGATTCTGTCTCCATCTCTCTGTCCCTCTCCTGCTCCTGTTCCCCCTCCCTCCCCCCAGCTCAAATAAAACATTATTAAAAAAAAACAAAACAAAACAAAACTTAAAAAGGATCTGAAATAACTTCTGCCAAAGCCAAGATCCAGGACACCCAGCACAGTGTCAGGAACAAGGGAGTGGTCATCAAGTACATAAGTTCCTCTACCTTCCAAATTTCCATAGGTACAAAGGTCATGCCAGAACTAGACGCCTGCCACCAGCAGGCAATGCAGTAGCCTCTTGTGTGTGATCACTTTGAACCCATGAATAAATGGACTGGTCAAGCCTTCAGAAAGGTAACACATCTAAGTTAAGATGCTCCCAGGCCTACTGAACTGAGGAGTGCTGCAGTAGACCTAAGAGTGACATCATGGGGCCAATTTTTTGTTTTGTCACCTCACACATACTGTCATTAAAAAACAAAAACACGCTTCCAAAGCAGCAATGGCCTTTTCACTAAAAAAGAAACAAATCTCTATTTGAAAAGAAACGATGTCATGAAGGGGCGCCTGGGTGGCTCAGTCAGTCATGCATCTGACTCTTGATTTCGGGTCAGGTCATTATCTCATGGTTCGTGGGTTCAAGCCCCATGTCAGGCTCTGCGCCCACAGCACCCCTCTATGCTCTTTCCAACTTGCATTTTCTCTCTCTCTCAAAATAAACAAACAAGAAAAAAAGTTACAATGAAAATGCAAGATCCCCAAGACTTACCCTGCTATTCCCAAGAAACCTCGCAAAGGTAACACTCCCCAAATCACACCTAGGACCACAGCGATGATCTGTCGGAACCAGTAGATCACATCTAAAAATTCATCCTGTAGAAAACAGAATGCATGTATTATGTGTTCTCAGTGGGTGCCACATGAGAGCCTTCTGTAAGAGGCGAGAAATAAAGCAAGCTGCTAAACACATCTTCCAGAGAAATTTCTCCAAGAGCAATGGTATGTAGTTTTCTGATCTTCACCTCTTCTTATACTAAAACATGGTTTAAAAAAAAAATACATTTAGTTATCTTAAGTGATGACTTCCAGGGCCTGTGTGGTAAAAAAAAATTTAGAAAAATTACTTTTTTTTAGAACCTTAGAAAAAAATGAAACGGCTTGTGATGAAATGGCTGTGGTAACTGTGCCACTGGCCACAGAAAACTCTTATCTGACCCTCGGAGGAGAGACCTAGACAGACTATCCACAGGCAGAACTGCTGTTAATCGACTCAGCACCATCTTCCTGCACACTGAATTCTGAGTAACTCACAAAAAAGGGTTAGAAACAAAGTGCTGAAGGCAGGTGCCAGCAGATCTCATTTTCATACAAGGCTGTGGAAGACTCAGGTTTCTGACCTGCCCCAGATTGCAGAAACCACAGTCTTTGTACAAGGAAAGAAAGAAATGACACAGCAGATCAGAAACGTTTTACAAGAGCTGGGCAGGGCTGGGGGCAGGACAAGGGCACCTTCAGGAAGTGCCTCCCATCCCCCCTTACAGGAACTCCAGGAAAACAGAAACTCCAGGAAGGAAAACCCGCTTCATCAGTCCAGAAAAATAAGGGTAAGACTGCAAACACAACATTGTTTTCAGGCCAACTGAAATCAAGCTGTTTCTGACGGTCCCTTCCCGATCAAGAAGCAGAGTTGGGGAGTGCCTACACTCAGATCTTCTGAAAGCGTGTGACCAGTGAAAACATCCTGAAGCCCCAACCATTCCTCACACACATGGGGCAGCTTCTCTCTCTCTCTCTCTCTCTCTCACACACACACACACACACACACTCACCTCTAAGAGGTGGTCTCAGTCTCCTCTCTCACAATTACGAAGGCATTCGGGTTTTCTCGTTCAACAGAAAAGCAATGGCCGTGAGCCTCATTACATGCTAAACGCTTTGATGCCCCACGGTACCCGCTTCAGAGCTGTTGAGCCTTGAGTGAGATAATGCACGGAGAGCACCCGGCAGAAAGTATGCAGTGGAGGGCTGCTACCGTTACTGCTCGTGCTAACGACCACATTAAGTAGTTAATTCGGAGAAGACAAGTCACTGACTAAAGATCCTACCGGTAGTAAAAGGCGGAGACTGAATTCAGCTCACTCTCGCCATTCAGGCACACGCCCGGCCCGCGGGTGGCAACTCCTCTGCCCTCTAGTCGCTGCTTCCCGCGTGACTTAGGTGGCTTCACCCTTAAACCACTCCGCGGAGAGCCCCGAGCCCGGCTGTCAGGCCCTGGGCCGCCAAGTTCGCCCGACACCTTTGGGCCACCCGTTCCCCCCTCCGCAACACCCCACACACTCTGCCGCGCCAGACCGGGGACCTGAGCAGGTTCGGGCCTGTCCATTCGGCCCCAAGTGCCAGCCGGCTCCTCGAACCTACGCCCTCGCCAGGGCCCACCGCACCTTGTCATCCCAGGCCGCGTCGCTCCGCAGCACCTTGCTCCAAACAGAGACTTTGAGGGCCCCGTTGGCCAGCTGCGGCTGAGGCGGTTCCTCCTTTCGCCGCCCGCCGCTCATCCTCCCGTCGCGCCGCCCGGGCCGGGCCTGGGGCGCGCGGGCCAGGCCAAAAGGAGTCGGGGTCTGGAATCGCGGGTCACGGCGCGCAGGGCGGCAGTGGCAGCGACAGAATCAGCGATCGGGTTCGGTGGCGCGCTGCTGCCGTCTTCACTTGCCCAGGACGCCGGCTCTCCTCGCTCGCTCAGCCGAGACCTGGCGCCGCGGTGGGGGAGAAGCAACGCAGCGCCGCCAGTCCACCCGCCGACGAACACACGTATCCAATCGGCGGCGGCGCAGCCGTCTGACGAAAAAGAGCAGGCGTCGCCTCGGCGCAAGCGCTCTACGCGAGACGGAAGTGACGGCCGGCTTCCGCTAGGCGCACGGTAGGGTGAGAGGGAAGGGACAATCTAGGTGGGGATGGTGACGCGAGCGCGAGGAGGCGCTGTGGAGGCTGAGGGACGGCGTTTGAGCAGAGAGGCGAGGTTAGACTCGGGGCGTCGCCCAGCCCTTCCCTAGTGAAGCGGGACAGAACGTGGCCCTGTTTTTCTAGAGGCATCCCTTTGGGTCCCAAACAGGCTGCCCAGAATGTAAGCTTTTCTGTATTAATATAGTGTCTCATCGTGGCCCAGCACCCTCTTTTGGCAGCTGTGAGCCCTGAGAGGGATTTTCTAAGGCTAAGTGGCAAGTTGGAACCCACTGAGGACTCCTGGGGCGGGGAGCGGCTTGGTGGGAGTCTAGTAAGTTCTTATTATCTATGAGACTATCTGAGTATTCATCTGAGTATTCAGTATTCTGAGTATTGTGTCCACACCGTGTGCTAGGTCAGTGGTTTACAAAGTGTGTGTCTGGACCACCAGCAGCCACATCACCTAGGAACTTGATTAGAGATGCAGATTCACAGACCCCATCCCAGAACTGTGGACTCAGAAGCTGTGGGAGTGGGGCCCATAATCAGCATTTTAATAAGCCCTCCAGGTGGTACCATGTTTATTGTGCTTTGTAATAAGTTGAGACCAAGACACATCACTTCTGTGTGGTGGGTTAATAGAGGCAAATTAACTTGCCCAGAATCACTCAACTGGTACCAGACCTGTCTGACTTCAAAATTTGTATTCTTAACCTTAAGTTTTTGGTATCAATGAGGCCAGAACATCCTTTGCATACCAACATTGATGTGTAGTTCTCCACTTTAGGTGAGAAACAGAATCTCTTAGGGATCTTCTTCAGAATTGTGGTTTTCAACCACAACTCAATTTCAAGATCCTCTTTCAATAGGTTGAGTGAGGCTGGACCCCAAAGGTGATAGACACAGCAGCAGACATCACTCTGGACCTGGTGGGCCATACACCTGACATGGATGCACACCTTTAGTCCTCTTTCACATGGATTGGTTCTTTTCAGCCCTGCCTTTTTTCTGAACCATTTTCCTTCCCATATGCAAAACTATGGCAAAGCCTAACCAGCTCACTGGAAGCGTACCATTGGTATAAAATCTCTTTTACAGGTGCGCCTGGGTGGCGCAGTCAGTTAAGCATCCGACTTCAGCTCAGGTCATGATCTCACGATTCGTGGGTCGAGCCCTGCTTCGGGCTCTGTGCTGACATCTCAGAGCCTGGAGCCTGCTTCTGATTCTGTGTCTCCCTCTCTCTCTGACCCTCCCCTGTTCATGCTCTCGCTCTCTCTCTCAGAAATAAATAAAACATTAAAAAAAATATCTTTTACAGATTCCCTGGGGGCATGTAGTGGAGACAAACTGATCATTCTGTCAGAATGTTGGAAGAATACCTAGCCCACAGTCCAAGTTGGGTAAGTTTTCAGTCCGCTGGGCTTGGTGGTAAAGGTTTATAATGGGAAGCTTGATATAGAGGTTGGGAAAGACTGAGCTCTGAAGGAAGAGTGGGAGTTAAGGGGAAGAGCGAGAGGAAGAGAGCATTCCCGGAGATGAAACCATGTCAGTTAATGGTAGAGAATAAAGCCACAAGTTGGGAAAAGAGTGGAAGGGGTATGTTGAAGAATTTGTTTTTGTTTTTTCTAGTTTTATTGAAAAATAACTGACATACATCACTGTATAAGTTTAAGGCCTATAACATGATGATTTGATTTACATATATTGCAAAATGACCATTAAATAGATTTCAGCTAACCTCCATCTCCTCATATAGATACAATGAAAAGAAAGAAGAAAAAAGTTATACAATTTTTTCTTTGTGATGAGAACTCTTAGGATTTATTCTTCTCTATTTTTATTTACTTTTTTTTTTTTTTTTTTTTGAGAGAAGGAGAGCAGGAGCAGGGAAGGGGCAGAGGAAGAGGGACAGAGAATCCCAAGCAGGCTCTTTGATGGGCATGGCTTAATTTCACCACTGTGAGATGGTGACTTCAGCCCAAACCAAGAGTCAGACGCTTAATCGACTGAGCCACCAAGGTGCCCCAGGATTTATTCTTAATTTTCCTATATATCAGTACAGCATTGTTAACTATAGTCATTATGTTGAGTATTATATCTCTACTATTTATTTATCTCAACTGGAAGCTTGTATCTTTTAACCACCTTCCTCCATTTCTCCCCTCCCGTCATCATCAGCCTCTGGTAACCACAAGTCTGAACTCTTTTTCTATGAATTTGTTTTAAGATTCCACATGCAAGTGAGATCATAAAGTGTATTTCTCCATCTGACTTATTTCACTTAGCATAATACAATTCCATGCATGTTGTCACAAACAGTTGGACTTAACTTGTTTTTTTGTGGCTGAAATATTCCATGATGTATATACCACCACAACTTCTTTATCCATTCATTTGTTGATGGACACTTAAATTGTTCTGTGCCTTAGCTATTGTAAATATTGCTGCTATGAATATGAGGGCACAGATATCTTTTTGAGTTAGTGTTTGTGTTTCCTTATGTCTTAGTGTTGTATATTCCCAGAAGAGGAATTGCTGGATTCATATGGTAGTTCTGCTTTTATTTTTTGAGGATCCTTCATACTGTTTTCCACAGTGGCTGCCCCAATTTAAATTCCCACTAGCAGTGCCCAAGGGTTCACTTTTCTCCACGTCCACACCAGTATTTGCTATCTCTTGTCTTTTTGATGATGGCCATGAAGAAATTATTTTTATCCCAAGGATGGAGGAAGCCCCAAAAAGGATTTGAACAGGGGAACTAAACTTTTCAGATTTGTATCTTAGCAAGATCATTCTGGCTGCTCTTGGGAGGACAGGATCAGAGTGAGAGACTAGTTTAGACTGTTAAAGTTACTCAGGGGATATAGTGGGGTACTGAAGATGGAGAAAATTGGAGTACAACAGTTCATACTTTTTAAAAAAATGTTTGTTTATTTTTGAGAGACAGAAGAACATGAGCAGGGGAGGGACAGAGAGAGATACACACACAGAGACCATGACCTGAGCCGGTCTGATGCTCAACTGACTAAGGCACCCAGGCACCCCTAACAACTAATTCTTTTTTTTATTGCTATTTTTATTTTGTTTAAATATTTATTTATTTTGAGAGGGGGAGGGAGGGAGACAGAGAGAGATGGGGACGAAAGGATCCAAAGTGGGCTCTGTGCTGACAGAAGACAGCCCAATGAGGTGCTTGAACTCACGAATCATGAAACCGTGAGCTGAGCCAAAGTCAGATTCTTAACCAATGGAGTCACCTCAGGCACCCTGTTAACTCTTTTTTAAACTTTTTTTTTTACTTACTGTAAAATGTACATAACAAAATTTACCATTTTTAAGTGTATAGTTTGGTGGCACAGTGAAGTACATTTACTTTATTGTGCAGCTGTCACCACCATCCATTTTCAGAACCCTTTCATCTTGCAAAACTGAAAGTTTTGTACCCAGGAAACTGTTAACTCCTCATTCTCTCTTTACCTTGGTCCCCAATGACTACTCTACTTTCTGTCTCTAATTCTGTAAGAGTAGAGTCACACAGTATCCTTTTCTGATTGGCTTATTTCAGTTAGCATACTGTCTTCAGGATTCATCCATGCTGTAGCGTGTGTCAGAATTTCCTTTTTTCTTTCTTTTTAAAAAAGCTTATTTATTTAATTGTGGGGGTGGGGCAGAGGGAGGGAGAGAGAGAGAATCCCAAGCAGGCTCCCTGATGTCAACACAGAGCTGGACCTGGGCTCAATGAGGGATCCCATGAACCTGAGAGATCATGACCTAAGCCAAAATCAAGAATCTGATGCTCAACTCATTGAGGCACCCAGACACTCCAAAATTTCTTTCCTTTTAAGGCTGAATAATAAATGTTAAATGTTAGTTAGATGTTCACTGTATATATTGCTAACCTTAAAAACAAAACTGTTACTTATTTTACCAGCAAAACTGAGTTTATTTAGGAATAGCAGGATATTACAATTTGGACATGCAGACTACAGCAAAACCATAGGCAAGTTCAGAAAACAAAGTAAAGAAACTTGCTTTTATAGAGGAAAGGAAAGGAAGTTGGGAAGGGCTTTTATAAACAAAATGTCTGGTGGAGTAAGCTAGGAGTTTGAAGTAGTGGGTTTTCATTGGCTGTTAAGTTGTCGCAGTCTCTCATTGACTGTGCCGTTGCTGGGCGAGGAGAAAATCTTTTTTCCTCCTGTTGAGAAGGCAAGGTGTGTCTCTGATGGGGTTTGTAGTTGATGAGGACCGATGAGGTGTGAGAGCTCCTCCTGCAGGCCTCCCAATTCCATTTTATTTATTTATTTATTTATTTATTTATTTATTTATTTATTTATTAAGTAATCTGTACACCTAATGTGGAACTGGAACTCACAGCCCTGAGATCAGGAGTTGCATACTCCACCCATTGAGTCAGCCGAGAGCCCCCCTCCCCCAACTCCATTTTAAATGAGGTTTCCTGGGGTGCCTGGGTGGCTGCACCATTTTGCATATCTACCTACAGTACACAAGAGTTCTAGTTTCTCCACATTCCTGTCCATACTTGTTTTCTGTTTTTGTTTTTTAAATAATAGCCAACCTAATGGATGTGAAGTGGTATCTCATTGTGATTTTTATTTGCGTCTCCCTAATGATTAGTGATGTAAAGCATCTTTTCATGTGCCCATTGATCATTTGTGTATCTTTATAGAAATGTCTATTCTAGACCCTTGTCCAGTTTTTGAGTCTAGTCATTTATGTTTTCTGTTGTTGAGTTGTATGAGTTCTAGATATTAATCCCTTATCCCTTATGTAATTTGGGATTTTCTCCTATTTTTTCTCCTATTTCGTGGGTTACCTTTTTACTTTGTTGATAGTAGAGTCCACTGATACACACAA